CAATGAAACTATCTTGAAAAATAATAAAGGTGGAAGAAATACATTACATGGTTTTAAGATTTACTTCAAAACTACTATAATTAAAACAATGTGGTATTGATAAAAAGATTTTAAAAGATCCATGAAAAGAATGGAATACAGAAATAGACCAAATTATATGTAATTTAATAACTCATAGGCTTCAATGTAGTTCAATGAGAAAAGGAAAATATTTTTAACAATTATTTCTGGTGGATCAATTTTTAAAAACAAAACAAAAGAAAACCTTGATCTACATCTCAAATCATACCCAAGTATATACTTGCAGTGTGTATTGCAATCCTAAACATAAAAACTAAACTATAAAGCTCAGAAGAAAACAGAAGGTAATATGTTTAAAATTTGGGATAGAAAATTAACTATAAAAGAAAAAAAATATTATAAACAAGACTTTATTAAAATAAAAAATTTCTGGTTACCAAAAAACAATAAAATAAAAAGGCAATTCACAAAGTGAAAATATTTTAAAAACTATTTGATAAAGTACTCATATCTAGGACATAATAATAATAAATACTAATATAATAAAATAAGAAATAATGACACAATTAAATTTAAAAATGGGAAAAATACTTGGACAGACACTTTACAAAAGAGGATATATAAAGGGTCATTAAACACATGAAAAGACGCTCAATATTGTTAGTCATCAGAAAAATGAAAGTTAAAACCCTCATGAGCTACTACTCCATACCCAGTAATTAAAAAGACCAGTACCACGAAAAGTTGAAGAGGATGAGGAGCAGCTGGATGTTATGCATCGCTGATGGGAATTATAATATTATGATTGTAAGAAACTTCATCAGTTTCTTAAAACCCTGTGAGACTGCAATTTTATTTGTAGGTAGTTGAATAGAGAAAAGAAAACAGGTCTATAGAAACAGTTGCTTGCAAGGTTGTTCATTGAAACTATACATAATAGCAAATTATCAGAATTAACTCAAATGCTCATCAATAGTGGAAGAAATACACAGTTATGCTATAGTTATTCAATGGAACTCACCGACACATGAACAACATATTTAAATCTCCAAACATTATGCTCAGTAAGAGAAGCCAGACACAAAAGAATGCTTACTCTAGAATTCTATTTCTATGAAGATCAAAAACAGGTAAAACAAATTTATTGTAATAGAAATTACAACTGTGTTTGCTTGGTGGTGGGGTTGACTGAAAAGGTACAAGAAGACACTTCAAGGGTCATGGCAGTACTCTATCTTGACTATGGTGATTGTCAAGACCCAACAAACAGTACACTTAAGATTTGTGAATTTTACTGAATGTAAGTATAACTTAATAAAAAGAATCTGAAAACTAAGTAGCAAAGCAGATGTTCTCAATGATTACTAGTGCTGACATAAATTAGTATACCTAATTGGTAAACAGTATTGCTAAATTAATCAGGAGTTTTTAAGAGCATTCATATGTTAAGGCCCATTCAATAAATTTCCATTCAATAAATCTATACTAAGAGGATACATTCTGAATTTGAAGGTAAGGGGGGATCTTTTTGTACAAAATTACTTTTATGGTTGTTATTTGCAATAAATAAAAATTTAAAACAAATTTTCAATTATAAAGGGATGCATATTAAGCTATAATATGTTAGTTATATACATTAGGTAAGTAATTGAATATTGTGGACTAAGCCATTAAAATTTTTATGAAAACATCATAATAACATGAAGACATACTTGTAATATTACATTAAATTGGGGGGGGGTGGAATGTTGTTGGGAGGAAGAATTGTATACACCAGCAGTCTTGATATTAGGGTATGCAATGACTTTCCAAAGATATATACAAGTATATAAAGTTTTTGTTTTGTTTTGTTTTTTAAAAATCTATTTGTATTGATTTCAGCCAGGAAGGGAGAGGGAAAGAGAAATAGAAACATCAACGATGAGAGAGATTCATTGATTGCCTGCCCCCTGCACACCCATTGGGATCCAGCCCACAACTCAGGAATGTGCCCTGACTGGGAATTGAACCTGGACCTCCTAGTTCATAGGTCAATGCTCAACCACTGAGCCATGTGGGCTGGGAGGATATTGAATTTAAAAATCAAATTCTAGTACTTTGACTCCCATACATAATCTTTCATAAAATTGATATGACCTGAGAATGTGCAGCTTTAAGCAGGTTCTTCTTTTCTAACTTTACAAAGGAAGCAAAGCCTCTCTTCTCTTCTGAATCTATGGTTATTGTCCTGGGCTGCTGTAAAGAAGTCTGAGGCCCCTAACAAAGGAACACTTGACAATATTGACATTGGTATTGAAAAGACCATTGTTAATAAAGTAATGATCTTTTTCAAGGGCATTTAACCTATCAAATCAGTTAGCTTCTCATTCTTTGCTTTCAAAAAATTGAAAAAGGATCTACTTGAGTTGTTAGGAGATAAATCATTAAAAATAATTTTTGTGTGGATGCATCACTATGTGACTTGTGACACAGAACTTCAGAAAGAGTTTGAAGAATTGAATGATATGTAAACACGGCTTTTCAGCAGCATCTGTTGAATAAATGGGAAAACACTGATGCTGAATTTTCATTCATCTACCAATAAATAATAATTATCACTCGTCACTGGGTATGAATTAAAATGAAAAGGTCCATTCATGTCATTAAGAGATTCATTGCTAAAAATTTGATTTTAAAGCCTAATAATTATTCATTAAACTTTTAATATATTTATGATCTTTTGGCCAATATAATAATAAAAATTACAATGAAAAAGCATTAAAAATGTAAAAGAAAATGCAACCTTTGGTTATAAAAAATGAAAGCAAAATATCAATGCATATTCACTTTTTAGTTGCAAAGAAGAATCACTTCATCAATAAAAGACTTTAAGTATAGTAATATATTTCCTTTGGATATATGTTTATGGAAATATGTAGCACCTCTAGAAAAAAAGTGGAATGGGAACTTGGATTCAAGAAAAAAAAACAAAAGATATAAATTTCAATTTATTAAATAAAAGATTTTTTCCCCAATGGATATTAGTTATCAAGTCTCTTCTATTGGGTATAGTTTCTTAAATGTGTAACAATTCTATTTAAACTGTCAATATTTGCAATGTCCCTTAAAGTTCATTCCTTGCAACTATTTAAAATTATGACACAAAAATTTATATGTCAGAATAAATATTTCAAGTATGTATGGAGTTTTGCAAAATTTGTTTGGGGCTATAGAAGCCAAAACCATTTTTAAGCAGCTCACGAATATAATTACAATTTTATTTTTAAAATATTTAAACAAATAAACAAACCAAAATATTATGACCTTCAAAAAGAGTGGAAAGATTACTCCAAAATAATAATGGTTATATTTGAATACTGGGAATAAAAATTTTTCCTCTTCTAATTTATTTATTGGTTATATATATTTTTCTCAATTATTTTATTAGTATGAATTAGTCTTATAATAAAAATATACTTAAGACATTTAGAAATAATAAGGTATACATTTAAACTCAGTGACCTTTGAGTAAAGACCCTAGGAGGTCTTATGGGACAAAGTCCACAAGTTTTAGTATTTCCACCTGTACTAGCCATTTACTTCTGCGGTTGCCTGGAGTTTGGGGTTATTAAGGGATTTTTGTTGTCTGTCAATGAAAACATTTTGACATCTGCCACACTTTCTCTTTTTACCTGACGTGTTCAATCTAAAACAGATTGGAAAGTTTGCAAAATTTAGATTCTGTTGTGTCTTTACTTGAGCTTTCTCCTTCACAAAGTTATGATATTCTTACTCTTACCAAAGAACAGTCACTCACCAGGTTACACAAGCATTAGTGAGGTTAATCAGAATCTAGATCTAAGTTGTTTCACTGCTCTCTGAATTCCTCCACCCAGAGTGAAAGACGAAATGAATCAGGAAGGGTGAGACTACTAACAAGTGAATGAAAGAAAATCATTGCACAATAGGATATCCAGGCAGGCAAATTTTAGATCTGAGGATTCAGCGCATCGTGTCAAAGGAAGAGGACTGGTCAGCTTTGATAGGATCTACAAATAGAATTGGGAGGCCAATAGCCCTGTGCTTCAAGCCCAGAGTCAGCAGAGGAGAAGAGTTTGAGGATGAATGAGGAATAACAGGCTCAAGGGAGAAAAAAAAAATACAGCAAACACCTAGAGGGCACACTATTTTCATGGCTCTTCTCCAATACTAAGGATGAAGCACTTGAACTCGGAAAAACTGTTGCTTCAAAGTTTAAAAAATAAAATAGATAACAAGGGAGGTGCTGCGGAGGAAATAATTTTTTCTTCATTTTTTTAATGAAGTAAAGGAGACCAGAATGGGCTGATGAAGGAACATTAAAGCAAGTTGTATTAGAGTAAAATGACTCCTTTAACACCATAGTCTCATCCCCCAATTTAGTTCTACACTCATACTTTCAGTCTCAAGTGCTAGTGTGCTAAGTGTGATTGTATATTTGAACTGATTTCTTTTTTTAAAGTCTGGTAACAACTTCTTTCTTATATCTTATGAATGAAAAATAAAGGATAAGTATATTATAAAAACAAACAAAAACAACAACCATTTGGCTTTGATATATAGAATTAAAGGACAATCATTTCATCTCTCATTTCTAGGGGGCATTTTAGTCCATCTGTTGGCTCATCCCCAGCCTTCAATGCAGATCTGCAATTCGGAGAGTTAGTGGAACATGATACTCTTAAATAACATTTATATTAAGATGAACTACTTTTTCACTTCTCACCCAGTAAACTTTCATTATAAAGCAATAGAAAATGAAAATGGTGTGTCCTTCACAAGCTATTAGAAGAGTGTTGGTAATTCCCACAAGCAGGAATGTAACTTAGTGCAGTGATTCCTGCCAATCACTTGGTCCCACGTTTCCCTGCAGGTGACCCTGCTGGCAAGAAAGAACACACATGCTCAAGGCCACTGAAACACTGTGACTCAGTTTCCGCAAAAAGATCAAAAGTCATTACCTGAATCCTCCGGGGATCTGTCTTCAAGTCTTGGGAGCTTCAGGTGATTCCAGCTCCTTCCAGAGGCAGCTGTCACTGAAGCATGCTCTGTTCTCAACAGTCCAAAAGATGTTGCAACCAGAAATTTCTCAACTGAAGCAGATTAATTATGACTTCAAATACAACAGATGCCGCCCAGGCAACCTTGTTAGGTGAGTTCATAACCAGTGATGAAAAAAGAGTTGCAATGAACTAAAATTCCTGCACCTGCCAATCCAGTCCCGGAGTTTTGTGCCTCAAGGGTTAGATGAATTGGAAGCTTCTCAGCAGACTATAGACTCTCAGTTCAGAAAATAGTTTTCACCCAAAGATGGATGCAATAACCCAGTCATAGGAGCATCTCTATAAAAGGTCTATAATCACCCTGCATCATCATCCAACTATAATACCCAACATGCTGTTTATTTCCAATTAATGCTTTGACTTCCCTAAATTTCCTCTACCTTATTCAGTAAACTGGGTATTTGAACTGGCAGGAAATGCAGAAAATGTATCCAGTTATTTCAAGTGAAGCCTAGAATGACTGTGTCTCATTCAAGATCTCCGGGTAGCTAAAGGCAAAAAACAGGCTTTTTTCTTCTCCTAACCAGTCTCTATCCTACCACACAAGCAGCTCCTACGTCTGTTCTGGGTGGAGGTTTGATGTTAGATAACCTGTAAAGAATTTTAGGCCTGCATAGATTTCTATTTTTTGTTTTCATAATTATGAGGCTACAGATTTAATTTGGGTGAAATACACCACCCAAAGAATGAAACTGGACTCCTATCTTTATATCACAAAAATTAACTCGAAGTAGGTTAAAGACTTAAATGTAAGACCTGAAATCATAACCCCCCCCCCCTAAAAAAACCACACACACAAAGGAAAATAAACTACTTGCTATAGGTCTCGATAATGAGTTTTTTGATATGATACCTAAAGCACAAGCAACAAAACTAAAGGCAGGTAAGTGTGACTACGTTAAACTAAAAAGCTTCTGCACAGCAAAAGAAATAACAAAGTGAAGAGACAACCTAAAGAATGGGAAAAATATTGCAAACCACATATTTAATAAAGGGTTAATATCCAAAATATACAAATAATTCATATAACTCAATAGCAAAAATCCAAATAATCCAATTTAAATATGGGCAAAGAAACTGAACAGACATTTTTCCAAAGAAGATATACAAATGGCCAACAAATACATGAAACGATGATCAACATCACTAGTCATTAGAGAAATGCAAATCAAAACCACAAGATATCACCTCAGTCCTGCTGGAATGGCTATCATCAAAAAGACAAGAGATAACCAATGCTGGTGAGAGTGTGGAGAAAATTAACCTTTGTCCACTGTGGGTGGGATTGTAAATTGGTACAGCCACCATAAGGATCCTCAAAACATTAAGTAGAACTACTGTATGATCTAGCAATTCCACTTCTGGGAATATAGCTAAAGGAAATGAAAATATTAATTTAAAGAGATATCTGTATACTTGTTCATAGCAGCATTATTTATAATAGGCAAGACATGGAAATAACCTAAATGTCCATCCACAGATGAATGCATAAAGAAACTGTGGTATAAATATATATAATACATTATTATTAAGCCATAAAAACACTGCCATTTGAGACAAGATAGATAGATCTTGGGGGCCTATGCTAAGTGAAATAAGTCAGACAAAGACAAATACTCTAGGATCTCACTTATTTATAGAATCTAAGAGGAGGGAAAAAAAACCCTCTGAAAAAGAGATCAGATTAGTTGTTGCCAGAGAGGCATGGGAAGGAAGAGGGGAATTTGGAGGAAGGTGATCAAAGGTACAAACTCCCAGTTGTAAGATAAGTACTAGGATGCCAACTTATTGTGGCAATCATTTCATAATATATGTAAGCCAAACCTTCATGCTGTATACCTGAAACTCATAGTGATGTATGTCAATTATATCTCAATGAACCTGGAAAAAAAATTGGAGAAATTTATCTCATCCATTACTTATTACAGTGTTGGCTTCCTCCCTTCTCTCTTCTTTTGTTTCCCATTAATATATTCTATCTGCTCATTCGTTTATCTTCCTTTTATTTCATTCAGCTTAAATACTTAAAAGTACAGACATTTAGGTTTTCTGAAACAAATTCTTAGTGTGATTTCTGATTGAAAATTCTTTTCCATTAATTCTCTCCAAAGATTTTTCTCCCATATATATATATATATATATATATATATATATATATTCAAATATATTTTTATTGATTTCAGAGAGGAAGGGAGAGGGAGAGAGAGAATTAGAAACATCAATGATGAAAAAGAATCATTGATTGGCTGCCTCCTGCATTCCCCCTACTAGGCATCGAACTCACAACCCAGCTATGTGCCCGTGACTGGAATCGAACCTGGTACCCTTCAGTCTGCAGGCCGATGCTCTATCCACAGAGCCAAACCAGCTAGGGCAATAAAATATTTTTTTAAAGATTTTTTTTTTTTAGAAAAACAGAAAAAGCATTAACACACATACTCAAAGCTAATTCTTTGAGTAAAACTCAAAGTGTACAACTTAGAAAAATAGTACTACAGAAGGGTGACTTAAACAACAAAAACATTTTAAAAGCCTTTATTTAGTACTTTTAGAGATTAATAATGCACATTATCTTTATAGACAATTCTGGATGAAATGGAAATTTTTTTGTGAAATTAAAGTGACCGATATCAACTCTAGGAACAATAGAGGACCTGAATATATCTTAGAAGAGATTTAAAAGGCAGTTAAAGATATCATCATGAAAAAGGCTCACACTTTTTTTTAATCTTTATTGTTCAGATTATTATAGATGTCACTCTTTTTTCCCCCCATAGCTCCCCTTCACCCGGTTCCCACCCCACCCCAGGCCCTCGCCCCCCACTGTCCATGTCCATACACACTGCATACATGCAAATAAGATCTTTGTCCAATCTCTTGCCGCACCCTCCCCACACTCCCTTCCCCCCAAGAATTGTCAGTCTACTCCATTTCCATGCCCCTGATTCTATTATATTCACCAGTTTATTCTGTTCATCAGATTTTTTATTCACTTGATTTTTAGATTCACTTGTTGATAGATATGTCTTTGTTGTTCATAATTTTTTATCTTTACCTTTTTCTTCTTCTTCCTCTTCTTAAAGAATACCCTTCAACATTTCATATAATACTGGTTTGGTGGTGATGAACTCCTTTAGCTTTTTCTTGTCTGTGAAGCTCTTTTTCTGACCTTCAGTTCAAATAGGTTTTCAATATCTTGCTCTCTTTCTTCTTCTGGCACCCCCATAATATGGATGTTGGTTTGCTTGAAGTTGTCCCAGAGGCTCCTTACACTATCTTCATATTTTTGGATTCTTTTTTCTTTTTGCTCTTCCAGTTGGGTGCTTTTTACTTCCTCATATTTCAAATCTTTGACTTGATTCTTGGGATCCTCTAGTCTACTGTTGAATCTCTGTATATTATTCTTTTTTAAAAAATATATTTTATTGATTTTTTTTACAGAGAGGAAGGGAGAGGAATAGAGAGTTAGAAACATTGATGAAAGAGAAACATTGATCAGCTGCCTCCTGCACACCCCCTATTGGGGATGTGCCCACAACCAAAGGTACATGCCCTTGACTGAAATCGAACCTGGGACCCTTCAGTCCGCAGGCCAATGCTCTATCCACTGAGCCAAACCAGTTAGGACTATATATTATTCTTTATTTCATTCAGTGTATGCTTAATTTCTGACTGGTCATTTTTCTTTTTTATTTTTTTTTGGCATTCTCACTAAGATCCTTGAAGGTCTCACTAAGCTCCTCGGGGGTTTCTAGTAGATTCTTGAGTAACCTTATAACTGTGGTTTTGAACTCTATATCAAGTAGTTTGCTTTCTTCCATTTCTTTTATTTGTGACATGTTTCTTTGACTCTGCATTTTGGCTGCTTTCCTGTGTTTGTTTCTATGTATTGGGTAGCTGCTAAGTCTCCTTGAGTTATATATTGGCCTTGTGTAGTAGGTGTCCTATAGGGCCCAGTGGCTCAGCCTCCCCAGTCATCTGAGGTGGACACTCTTGGTGCACCCCTTTGTAGGCTGTGTGCACAGTCTTGTAGTTGAGCCTTGATTGCTCTTGGTATCACTGGAAGGAATTGACCTCCAGGCCAATTGGCTGTGAGGACCAGCTGTGCCTACAATGGAAGAACTGCTGTGCAGGAGACACCCTTATGGGGCAGGACTTGCTTCAATGGGGCTTTGGTGCTCACTGAGTCTGCCCCTTGAGTGTGTCACTTATGGATGTGAAGAGTTGTAATCTGGTATGATCTCGCACTGACCACTGGGTACACTGGCTCTTGGATCTCCAAGGAGGTGCAAAGTCAGTCACTGCCTGGGGCCACGCAGCAGGAGCTACAGAGAGAGCTGCAGATTCCTTGTCTTTGTATTGGGTTTGGGAGTGCCCAGACAAGGCCCAGCAGTGAAGCAAGGCAGGCTGGTGCTGGTGTGGCCTTGGGCCTTCTTTTGATAGCTTTGGGGCTCCCTGACCCAGCTGCAGCTTGTTTGACAGGTTTTAGACTGAGAAAGAACAGGCCATTCATATGCAAAAGCCACTGCACACAGCTTGGGTGGGGTTATAAATTGGGTAGGGCAGGGTCTCAGGGAATCTCCAGGGCGGAGCAAGCAGCAATAGCTGCTAGTCAGCCCTGCACTGAGGAGGTCCCGGCACAGGAACAATGACCCTTACTTTTCATTTGTAAACTTCTCTAAGACTTAATTCTCTTTTTAAAGATAAAATCTGCACCATTTTTAACAAGGGAATTAAACATGCTAAGTAAAAGGACCCCAAGCACCATCTATTGATTAGAGTATGTAAATACCCTGGATTAAAAGGGAAAATCAAGCAAATCTCCAAATCCACCCTCTAGTGGCAGGTTTGGGTAACTATAGTTTCTATAAAATTACAATTGTTAAAATAGATTGTGAATATGAAAATATTATTTAAACAACAGTAAGTGTTTTTATCATAAGAATAAGATACATGTCCCTGTTTGGACATGTATGAA